TTTTTTGGGGGGGGGGGGAGGGGGTTTTGTTTTCATGTGGAAATTTTTTTGGGGTGCTCCTTTTTTTTTTTTTTTTTTTTTTTTTTTTTTTGTGACTGGTAAGGGGATCGCAACCCTTGGTGTGGTGTCGCCCACACTGCGCTCAGCCAGTGAGTGCACTGGCCATCCCCATATAGGTTCTGAACCCGCGGCCTTGGTACTCCCAGCGCCGCACTCTCCTGAGTGAGCCACAGGGTCGGCCCGATGCTCCTGTTTTCAAAGAAGATGTTCTTTAGCCATTTATTCTGCGTAAATTATGTCCATAAAACAGTATGTAATATTGTGGTTAAAAGATACCCAAAAACTCCTGGTAAAGATAGTGACTTCTAAGAACTAGTCTGGGAATTGGCAGCATAATGAATATAATTTAGAATTTTACTTTTCAATTGGAATTGAATTGTACCTGAAATATTTGGGGTTCAGGGGTATTTTTTGGAGATGATATATAAAATAATGATTAAAACAACAAAAAGCATTGCTTAGGATAATTCTAGTTCATTGCTTCACTTTGAAGCCTCTTATTTGACTTATTTATTCCATTTTACATGTGATATAAGCAGGGACAGCTTGAATTGGCATTAGATATGTTAGAAAGTAAAATTGGCTATATTTCTGATTCTTAAGCATTTGTTTTTGCTATTGTGTAAAAAAATGATTTTAAAAAATCGAGTCCAGAACAATGCCTTGTCACATACTAAGTACTCAGTTGTTTGTTGAATGAAATAGAACACTATAGGTTTAGTGTAGGAATCAAGATTTCCATTTCAAACAAACAAAAATAAATAATATGAAAATGATCCCCTATGTATCCATCACCCGACTTCAACAATCAACAGCTCATGAAAAGTGGCTATTCTTAATTATGTTCCTGCTTCTGGTTACCAGCCTAGAGCTGAATTTCTGAGTCTATTCTGAGTTTAGCAGATGTCCTTCAATTCTAACTGATCTTGGTTTCAGTTTATATTGTTTTTGTCTGGTAACCCTAAGGAGTAGATCTCCTTGGCTCTTCCAGTTAAGGTGTGGATGTCACCAATCAGACCAGACATTGGACCCACTAAAAAAGCTTTTTGGAAGGAATATGAACATTGTTTGTAGCCAATCTTCTGACATTGAGAGCCTCAAAATTTTCTTTTTTTAAAATTTTTCTTGGCAGCTGGCTGGTTCAGGGATCTGAGCCTGTGACCTTGGTTTTACAAGGCTGCGCTCTAACCAACTGAGCTAACTGACCAGCCCAAGAGCCTCAAAATTTTCAAAGGACTTATTCATTCTTTGGGGCTATGACCAATGAAAGTGTATACCACAAGGGAACCCTAGCTGGGCTAGCTCTGGTGTGAATTAAGAGTTCAAGGAGGACCTATTGGCCTTGAGCATCTTAACCAACTGATTTTTGACCAGTGTGGCCAGTATTTCTGGGTTTCTAAAGGTTTAGAAAGTTAGAGTTCTGGGACTTTGTAAGGAAAACTTTGGGCTGCCAGGGAATTTGAGGTGTGGTTGAAAGGTAGTAGCAGACTATGAAACGAGATTAAATTATAAAATGTCTTTGAGTCTGTGAGTGTATCTATATTTAGAGACTGACTTAAATAATACATTTCTAATAAATGTTTTATCATTTAATATTTGTTTATTTTTTATTATATAGTTGTCACTTTATATGCCACACTTGGAAAAGAAGCAGTAGTTCATGGGCTAAATGAATCAGAGGCTTCCTATCTGATTACTAGTGTTGAACTTCTGGAAAGTAAACTGAAGGTAAATATGAAATTTTCTTTTAATTCATGGTAGTGTTATCTGGCAGAACAGGAAAATGTTCAATAAGTGAATCATTGTTACAGGCCCAAATTTAATAGCTGGGTTTTCTTTCTGCTCTACAGACTGCATTGTTAGATGTCACTTGTGTTAAACACATCATTTATGTGGACAGTAAGACTATCAATAAAACAGAGTACCCTGAAGGGTTTGAGATTCACAGCATGCAATCAGTGGAAGAGTTGGGATCTAAGCCAGAAAACTGTAAGTAAAGCAGTTAAAATGAATTTATTTATCTATTCAAGGCTTGCTATTTCAGTAGGTTAGGTAATGACATGAGTGAAAGTGCTGAAGTTCTTTGATTAAAAAAAAGTTAAAAAATGTTTAAAAATCTATCAAGATCATATATGATTAAGATTTTCCTTCCCTTTCTCCTCAAGATGGTAACCACTGTTTAAAATTTACTAAGTAGTTGAGATATAATCTGTGGTTCAGAATTTATGGCAGTTGCTGTCAAACCTCTCCTTTTTTAAAAATTACTCACTATAACCTTCCAATTTCGACCTCATAAAAGGAGAAAGTCTCAGGCCTTTCATTCGGTACACTTTTTTAATGCTTATTGCTAGTGATGTTAATGATGTTTCAGAGGATGCAAAGCTGTTTACCAGGATTAATGCGTGGATTTATTCTACCACTGAGGTGGTAGTTGGTATTTCATTTGCAACAAGTAGAGGCACTTTGTAGCAAAATGTCAGTTGGTCATTAGGACAGAGATGAGGAAATTAATATTCCATTTGAATAGTTTTCTTCTCATGTTTAATGTGAAGGTCACAGTACCCTGGTAGATAAGATAAGGATTCATTTTGGCAGGAGGAAATATTTGTTGAACCTCTACTTAGCTTCTGAATATTTTGCCATTAGAGAATAAAAATATGTTTACAATAACAGGTATAGAGTATAGCTTTCTACCACATGTCGAGAATGGCAAGGAGTCTGAGATTTTACCCTACATGCAGGCAAACAAGTGAACCTGTCAAGTTTCTTAGGGACACAAGATTCCAGAGACAGCGATGAAGGACAGATTTTTACTCACAGCAGTAGCAGTAGCCAGACTGACATATTGGCATTTGTGTGTAGGAGAGGAACTCCAAGCTTAGGGAAACCAAACATTTTATTATCTATATTGTACATCCTTGCCGTTTGCTCTGGAGGGAGACATTATCTATGTGCAAACATCCTTGAAAAGATGGTCTGGAACAAAGTCAGTGCCTCTGCTTGCAAGATGTGCAGAAACATGAGAGACACATCGAGAATTGTCTCAACACCAGTTTAACCCTACAAGATCAGGGTAAAGTTGCCTGGGAAATCCTGATTGTTAGGGATCAGTTGCCGATTCTGCTGATTAACTAAAGGTTGTTGGCACAAAACTGAGGGGATACCAGTCCTCATAATTTTGTGTGAGCAATAATAACTTGATAGGCCACCTATACCACATAGTTGCACATTTCTACAGTAGATAGGATACATATATTTTTGTGGTGCTTTACCTGAGTAAACTGTTGTTAGTATGATGACACTTTGCATATTTATTCAAAAATGGGCAGAAGGAAATTGTCACATTGTGTGCTTAGACTGAGAAGAACATAACCTATCTACTGCTGCTGCTTCAGTTAATCATCAGAGGAGATATGTGATCCCTGTTTGCTTGGTTTAACAACTATGATAGAAGGGCCAGCCCGGTGGCTCACTCGGGAGAGTGCAGTGTTGATAGCGCTGAGGCTGCGGGTTCAGATCCTATATAGGGATGGCTGGTGCGCTCACTGGCTGAGCTTGGTGTGGATGACTCCGAGCCAAGGGTTGCGATCCCCTTACCAGTCAAAACAAACAAACAAACAAACAAACAAAAAAAACACTACGATAGAGGATATCTTTAAGAAGCATTAGAATTAGCTAATTTAAGTATAAGTTTATCTTTGGTTGTTTCAGCAGTGTATCTAGCCACTTAACATTTTTATTTTAACTGGTATAGAAAAATCATTTTTGTAAACAGATTCTCTAATAATCTTGTTAAACTTTTGATTCTGATGATATTCAAGGGTACTTCAAAAAGTTCATGGAAAAATAGAATTAAAAGATAATACAAACCTTTCTATGAACTTTTTGGTAACCCTTGTATCTGTGGATTCTTGGCCATTTTGGTGTATTCTGGGAAGGAAAGGCGGTTACTAGGTTAGCACGATACACTGTCTTGAAAGAGGAAGCTCTAGTGTGCTGTTTAAAACTTAGTATCTTAGAATTTTAGAGTTGAAGTCACCTTAAAGATCAAGTTCGGTGGTTTTCAGTCAGGGGGTAAATGTGAGTAACCCGTGGGATTTTGTTCCATCCCAAATAAATTGAATCTGAATTTTCAGAAATGGGGTTCAGAAATAGTATTTTGTTTAAGCTCTGCAGGTGATTCTTTTTTTTTTTTTTTTAGTGTATTTATTTATTTATTATTATTATTTTTTTAATTTTTATTTTGTCAATATACAATGTAGTTAGTTATTGTGCTCTGCAGGTGATTCTGATGCATACTAGTGGTAAGAATCCCAATCTAGTCTGACCATCTTATGTTAGAGGTGAGAAAATTGAGGCCTGAGGAGCTCACATACAATCCTCTATCCTGTTTCTCCAAAGTCCTGGAAATCTTTCCACAATGCTGCTCTGCATAAAACACTGTGGAAAGGCATGAGCACACAGGGTTTAGGCTAAACATCTAGAAAATGGGCCAAATTGAGTTTGAAGTTTTCATTGCAGTTACCCAGAATTTGATCACTGTTGTTGTTTCATTATCTAAAGCAAATACTTTTTATTGATAGTTTATCATTATGCAAAATCTAAATATCTTATTGTTGTTTAGCAATTTAGCTTTTGACCTGAAGAAAATGTGCTTTTTCATTCATTTTAGCGAGTGTTCCTCCAGATAGACCAACTCCTTCAGACATGGCCATCGTCATGTACACCAGTGGTTCTACTGGCCGACCGAAGGGAGTGATGATGCATCATAGCAATCTGATAGCTGGAATGACAGGCCAGTGTGAAAGAATACCTGGATTAGGGTAAGAGAGAATTATTCAAGTTTCTTCTTAGAAGTCAGAGTGCCTGTTCAGTATTCTCTAAACTCAATCTAGATTAAAATGATAAAGTTTTTAATGTTTCTAATTTAAAATGTCTTTTCACAAATGGTTAAAATGTTTCTTTTCTTTTGTTTTAGACCAAAGGACACATATATTGGCTACTTGCCTTTGGCTCATGTGCTAGAATTGACAGCAGAGATATCTTGCTTTACCTATGGCTGTAGGATTGGATATTCTTCTCCACTTACACTGTCTGACCAGGTGACAAACTTTTCAGCACATTGGCATGATCATATTAAGTTACACTGTTCGTCTGAGAACATATTACTAAAATGTGAGATATTTCAGTTCGGCTAAAACTTTTTTCTTAACTCTGAAGATAGCTTCCATGAGCAATATATAGCTGGGGATTTGTTAGTATTGCTTTATCTACATATTTTTAAATTATTTTGGAGTGAGTAATTACTTTCATCTTGTCTTTCTCTATTAGATTTTACTCTGGGGAGCTAAGATACAGAATATAAATACACTAAGCCCTTTTGACATACTACCCATGAGCATTGGCGGTTTTTTGGGAGGAGATGTAATGGTAGGGTTGTGGTCCCAGCTTCCTCTGAATTTTCTCTAGAGGTGTGCTTTTTAATACAGTAACCACTAACTACATATTTACATAGAAATTAATTAAAATTAAATTTAAAAAAACCCGGCTTCTCATTTGTTCTAGTCACATTTCAACTTCTCAATAGCTATGTGTGACCAATGGCTACCATACTGGACAGCATATATACAGAGTATTTCCATCATCACAGAAAGTTCTATTGGACAGCACTGCAGCATCTCCAAAGGCAGCCCTCAGCTTACTACACTGAATCAGAGTTCTACCTTCTCTCTTGTTCACAGCCGAAAGCCCGAGAGTGGGTCAAGCTAACTCATATATTTTAAGCCCATATGAATCCACACATCTAATATTGTTTACAGTTCTGTTTTATTTCTTGTTTAGAATAGTTGCTATAGAAAACCCTCAACCAGAAATAGGGGAAAAAAGAGCTAACAGGGAGCATGCAGTTGATAAGAAGATGTGTCCTTGGTGCTCACAGTTAGAAATTGTAGTACTTTTCTTTTTTTGGTAGAAATATCATTTTAGGGAAAGGCTAGGTAGGTTGTATAGTATTAAGAAAAAAAAGTTAAATAGATTTTTTTGGATTTACTTGAGGTTCCAACAACCTTTTTTGTTTTGTTTTTGATGTTATAATTTAAAGTGCACAAATCTTAAGTGTACTGCTTGATTAAGTTGAATATACACATGTAGACCTCTGTGATCATTACCATCTAGATCAAGAAAAAGAGAACATTTTCAGCACCTCAGATGTTACTTGTGTCCCCTCCTTGTCATTACCAGCCCACAAGAATTATCCAGTCTCCTTCTGAAGTGGATTTTTCTATGAGAGAAAGTGTTCTGTTTGAAACAACTACCAACTTTGTACTTTAAGGAACACAACCTCTTTGTAAGATGGGGTGCTGCTGTATTTGTTATACATTTAAAATCTGCTAGAATAGTAATGGAGACAATAAGTAAACTATCAAATAAACAAATAAACAGAACTTGCTCTAGAAAAAGTCAAAATAGACCTGTGGATAAGATGGGCTTTAAATTGTAAAAATGATTTTAGAAAAATCTGTGATGATTATGTTTTGAGGCAGTATAGTGGGTTTTTCTTACGTTCAGAGATGTTATCAAAATGTGAAACACATTTCAATATGCTTGGAGTATGATTTTTTTCCTTTGAGGAAGTACAGAAGGTGGGGACTAGCAACCTTTTTCTTTTTCACTGCCTTTCTGAGAACAGTTGCCTCAGTGGGGGGAGGAAAGACAGTAAGAGTTGATGTTTAGCAAATCCATCACCTCAAACATTCGTCATCTCTTTGTGTCGGGAACATTCAACATCTTCTTGACTAGCTTCTTGAAGTTATACACAAATTTGTTGTTGGCTGTAGTCTCCCTATAGTGCTGTAGAACATTAGATCTTTTTTTTTTTTTTGTCTTTTTCTGTGTCCGGCAACGGATCGCAACCCTCAGTGTCACCCCCGTACCGGACCGGGACCGGCAATGGGATTGCAACCCTCGGTCCCGTGCCTCGCTCAGCCAGTGAGCGGGAACCGGTCTGTATGTGGGATCCGAACCCTCGGCGGGAGCGCCTCCGCGCTTCCCAAGCGGCGCACTAGCACAGTGCGCCACCGGGCTGGCCAGAACATTAGATCTTATTCTTCCTATCTCTTCACAGTTTTGTATCCATTGACCACCCTCTCTCCATCCCTTCCTCCCTCTACCTTACCAGTCTCTACCAACAACTATTCTACTCTCTACTTCTCTAAGATCAACTTTTTTAGCTTGCACATATGAGTGAGAACATGCGGTATTTCTCTTTCTGTGCCTGGCTTATTTCACTTAACTCCAAGCTCAGTCATGTCACTGCCAATGGCAGAATTTCATTCTTTTTCATGGCAGAGTGGTATTCCATTGTGTATATAGACCGCATTTTTCCATCCAGTCATCTGTCAGTGGACATTTAGGTTGATTCCAACCCTTGGCTATTGTGAATAGAGCTGTGATAAACATGGGAGTGTAGGTATCCCTTCGACATGATGATTTCTCTTCCTTTGGGTATATAACCAGCAGTGGGATTGCTAGATCGTATGACAGTTATATCTGTAGCTGTTTGAGAAACCTCTATACTGTTTTCCATAAAGGGTGCACTAATTTACATTCCCCCCAACAGTGTATGTGTTCCCCTTTTTTCCACATCCTCACCAGCATTTGTTATTTTCTGTCTTTTTGATAATAGCTAGTCTAACTGGGGTGAGATGATATCTCATTGGGGTTTTGATTTGCATTTATCGGATGATTAGTGATGCAGAGCATTTTTTCATGTGCCCATTGGCCTTTTGTATATCTTCTTTTGAGAAACAGCAGGTTTTTACTTTTATGTTTTTCAGTGGCGAGCTTTATGAATTTCTTTACCTACTGATCTGAAATTTGAAGTCCCAAATAGTATATATGAGAAAGAAAGAAAGAAAAAAGGAATATGCACACATTTATGCCTAAATGTGCATATTCCCACTTGGTCCCTGGCAGTGTCCTCCATATCTTACCAACCAGAATATTATCAGATTAGGATTTTTGTATGATATTAATTGATGCTCACAGTGGTGACTTTGAGGTGTGGATTTGCCTACTGATTCACCAAAGAAAGTTAAAATTACCTTCAATTCTGTTTTAGTGTTGTCTGCCTTAATAGAGTTTTTTTTTTATTGTAGTAGTAATTTATGCTATATTTCATAATATGTTATTAATAAGAAAGTTTGATTCACCAAAATATCTCGTTCCCTTGTCATTATGGATCAGAGTTTCTCCTCTCTGGAAGGATACAGCACTTAACACTTCAGACTTGTAGGTTATGATAGTTGTAACAGATCACAATAGAAGATCAAATTCCATGTATCATTTCTGTCTTTGTCATTAATACTTGAATTATAACATTTTTTCCTAAGGTTGGTTTCCCTAATCGTATTTACTTTTTCTTCAATGCAGTCCAGCAAAATTAAAAAAGGAAGCAAAGGAGACTGTACTGTCCTGAAGCCTACACTTATGGCCGCTGTTCCAGTGAGTACAGAATATGAATATGAACAGAAGAGGATAGTTTATATAATTTATTGCTTACACTTGGACTTCTTAAAGAGGAATACTCTTAGATATACATATACATTTTAAAATAATTTTACTTTGTTGAAATCATGGCAAATGTGTTTCTTAAAATCTTAGATGTTGTATTGGAGAAGGTGAAATGGCAAATGCATGACTCCGAAATGCATGACTGTTAGTGTCTGTTTGAAGATTAGTACTTGAGAATTAGGTGGTGAAAATGACCTCGTTCAAATTACCTAGTGTGAAAATTGGTCATAATATTTTAGGGTAGAAAATACTATAAAGATCATCTTGTTAAGAAACCCTAGGCCATCCTAGAGAGCTGAGGTAGCACATCCAAGGTTATGGAGCTGGTTAGTGACAGAGCTGCATCTAGAATCCAAGCCGCCTGACCCTCTTGTGGTAACTAAGAAAAATTGTCAATTTGAGAGACTACCCAAGGTAAAAGAGTTTAATTTTAGATATTCAAAATCCTCATGTGAAATACTGCCATTTTTAAAAAAGATATTACATTTTATAGCTTTGAAATGATGAATTTTGAAACATTTAATGAAGTGTTTTAAATTTGTAAAATCAAATATATTCTAGCACATTTACATTTCAAAACCCCAGGGAGACTGTGCATCAGTATCACTTGTATTACCATCATACTTATCCCAGTATCTTTCAAAGAATTTCTTTTGCACATGGAAAGTGTGAGATTAGATAATAAGGTGTTCAGACCAAGTTTTTCTAAGAATTACAGATGGAAGATACTTTATGGTCTTTTTAGCCTTTAATCATAAAATTACCAAATAACCAAAGAAATAGGTCAGAGAAGGCTTTGCCTTTTTACTTAGAGGTGCTCTCAGAATCAGCAAGTTTTCAAAGTGAAAGGAGAAGCTTCTTACTAAAAACATAATCAAATGATGCCAATAATAGCTAGTGTAGTACTTACTATGTTCCAGGCACTGTGCTAAGTGCCTTAGATAGATTATTTCACTTAGTCCTCTCTAAGATTTTACTGGGTGGGCCCTGTTATCACCAGCTTAAAAAGATGGAAACTTGCCCAAAGTCACATTGCTCATAGGTGGTAGAATCAAAGCTTGACCTCAACCAGTCTGATATCAAAGTCTTCTTAACCTCTATGGCTATCTATTTAGGACTGTTTCATGTAGTTGTTGTTTTATTTTGGGAAACAATATATTGGTTTTATTACCCAGTATATATAGGACTCCCTAGTAAATCATATCAGAGAACATAGGGAGGAGGAAAGGCTGAGGTGTGAAGGAAGTAATCTCTGATCTTAGGCCTGAAACTTAAGCAGGAGTTAGCAGATAGGCTATTTATCCTCTAATTGCCCATTGTCCAGTCTCCCATGCCCTACTTTGCCTCCCAGGAAGCTCACTTATACGGGTGAATTTCCAGGGCTTCCTTGCCTTGTGATGGTTGGTTGGGTTGAGCCAATTGGAAGCACTCATGAGAGATCAGAGGGCAGGGAGATAGAGAGAGTTCTGCATACTAATTACCTTTGCTCCTTCTCTGCCAGGCTGTGAGTTTTGGCAGTTGACAGGCACCTGTTGGATGGAGTCTTTCCCATGGGCTGTAACCAGGTGTTTTTCATGGCTACAGTCCCCATCCAGATTCCAGTGACACTTCCCTCCTCTTATACTCCTTCAGGCCTAGGGATAGTAAATAGTGTCCTGTGTTGCCAGTCCATTGGTGCGTCACTGGACTTCACTGGTTCCCTTAGCTCCTCCTACTCCTCTAAAAATAGGCCCTTTAAAAAAAAATCTTTTTATTGAGAATTGTTTTCGATAGATTCTGCCTTTTGAGTTTGTTTCTTTCCTGGGTCAGAATAAAAAATCAATTTAGTACTATAACATTCATACTGCGAAAATTCAGAATAAATCACTACTTATTATAAGCAGTGACTCAATTGAATGTCATGTAATGTTAGGTTGAGATAAAGGGTGACTTGGTGGGCTAACAATAAATCCTGCCCACTCATTGCACCTGTAAATTTATAAATTTGTAAATTTATAAACATTTATAAACATTTCTTATGCCACAATTGATATTAATTTTTGCTAAGTAATTTCAAGAAAGCATCATTTAGTGTTAGCCTGGGCTGTTGGTTTCTTGTTTTTTGTTTTATATGTATTAGCCTGGGAGTATATCTCAAACCTGGTCATCCCTCTAATTTTCCAAGTAGTTGTGAGCAACAGTTCTATTCTTTTTTGTTATCTTTGTTTCTATTAAAATGTATTAGAAATGCCTAAATTAAATTACAGGGACATAAAATTTTTAAGGAAATATAATGTTCTCTGCCATGCTGTATGAGACTCACAAGGTTGTAGTAATAAAGACAGAAGCATTAGGTTTTTTATTTTTTCATCTTAAATTTTTATTTTTTATTAGCATATTCATTTTTGCAAATCGTGATATTTCTTTATGCCCTTTGCCTGACCTATCACTTCCCTAGAAGTATTAGATTTAGATTCAACATAGTTGGGTATTTTGGTACTGATTGAGAATAAGTGAATATATTTGAAAGAAGAGTTTTTTTTTTTTAACGAAATCTTTCTGCGAGAGCTGAATGAATTCTCTGTGCTCTAGTTGAACTTAGCATATAGAACTGAAGAAACTCCTCCTTAGTCTTTTTGAAGTAGTGAATGAGAAAAGTCAGTGAAATTAATTCTGTAATTGTCCATTATACTAAAGACTTTTACCTAAGATGTTGTAAGTAAGGTATCTTCAACTAATGACTGTTTCAGTTCTTTTCAGATTATTAAATATTTTATTCACCTTTTAGGAAATCATGGACAGAATTTATAAGAATGTTATGAGCAAAGTTCAAGAGATGAATTATATTCAGAAAACTCTGTTCAAGATAGGGTATGATTACAAACTGGAACAGATCAAAAAGGGATATGATGCACCTCTTTGCAATCTGTAAGTACATTTCATAGGTTTAGTGATTTGAGCCTTTTAATCCTTTTGTGTTTCTAAATCTGGAAGATGAACAAGTAAATGGCAAGTTAATCTGGTTTGAATTTTACCACCATAATCATAAGGTTGAATTTCTCTTTTATTCCAAACCTCATTGCTTATATAGCAAGCAGAGTCCCCTGACCTGTGATCTTGGCAATTTAACAAATTTTAATAATCAAGCAAATATTTAAGATTTAATTATGAAATTTAGTATCATGAAGAAAAACTATAAGGGCTTTTGAATCAAGACAATTGAATTTAAAAAGTGTCATTTCTAACTAAAGAAAGTGATCTTCATAATTTATTCCACATGAAGGTTTTTGTTTTATTGTATATGTATTCATAAAATAGTGTAGTAAGTATATAAATATAACAGTTATTTTAAATGTGGTGCTGGGGGTGGGGATGGGGAAGCAGTTTTCATTGGAAATGAGATAAGTGACTAAATGTATCAAATTTAATTCTAAAGTTTTTTCCTTTGACCTCATCATTTGCTTTCATTTGCTCTATGTCAGAGAAGTTTCCTGATAATGCACATTTTTTTCCGCATTACTAAGTGTTTTTCTGGTGTTTTAAAAAAGGTGTTACCAGTTGGTTCTAAAATTTAGATGTTCAGCCAAAGTTGAGAAATCTTTCCCAGAGCTTATAAATTAGTGTATCACCAAGAATAATTTCTGCATGTATTGAAATCATTTATCCCCCTTTTTATCTAGGTTACTGTTTAAAAAGGTGAAGGCTCTGTTGGGAGGGAATGTCCGCATGATGCTGTCTGGTGGTGCCCCGCTGTCTCCTCAGACACACCGGTTCATGAATGTCTGCTTCTGCTGCCCAATTGGCCAGGGTTATGGACTGACAGAATCATGTGGTGCTGGGACAGTTACTGAGGGTAAGCATTATTAATGTGACAAATAATTTTAACCACTACTAATAAAATCCATTTGCATTGCCTTTGGAAACCATGTTAACTTATAATACCTCTTAAGTAATATCAGATTCAATGCAAACCTACATAGGTTTAGTTTTATGAACTCAGATAATAATATCATGTGTACCCTTTACTTTTAAGCCATGTAAATATTTATGGCACATTGTCAGTCCTCAAAATTCAGTCCCTCTGGTCCTTTAATCTCCTTTGGAGAACTGTAGTCTTGAAATGAAGTATCACTTTTATGTTCCCTCTCCAATCTGTATTCATGTCCTGGCTTTTGTTTGCTTTCTCTTATTTTCAACAGCCTAAAGCAGGGTTTCTCAACCTTGACACTTCAGATTTTGAACCAGACAGTTCTATGTTGTTGAGGACTCTCATATGCACTGTAGGATGTTTAGCAACCAGATGCTAGTAGTAACCTGCTCTCCCCATCTGTGACAATGAAACATATCTCCAAACATTGCCAAATATCCCCTGGGTTGAGAAATACCGGGGTATAAGAATTGTTTTTTTTTTTTGAATGATTCCACTTTCACTTTAAACTCATGTCTAAAATCAATGCCTCATTCCACATCAGTGCACATAAAAAAATATGAAATAGAATCAATGCCATTATTCCCAACTGTCTCTCTATTGCCAAATTATTTGTTTGTGTCAATGGTTTCACCATCCTTAATGTCATTCAGGGTATCGGCTTTGAAGTCATCTGATTTTTTCTTTTTTAGTGTCTTTAACTTTCATCAGATCTTCCCATTCCTTCATTAGGTTGCTCCTTCTCCTTCATGCCACCTTTGTCATTCAGTCTTTTATTGCTGCACACAGCTCTGAGGTAGCAGCCCTTCAACAGCTATGCCTGCCTGCATTAAATCACTTCTAATTCATCCTGTGTCCTTCTATTAGACATATCCATTTCACCCGCTGTTTGATAGCTGGTGGATCAAATCTAAATATGCCTTTACCTAGCTTTCAAGACTTCTTTAATCTGGCACCACTGTGCCTATCCATCTTTATTTTCCATTATTCCCACATGTATACAAGCCTAACTCTTCTCTCCAGATGAGCCAATCTTCTCCCTTGTTCTCATACAGGCATTTTTGGTCTCACCTCTCTGTATTTTCTTTTTGCTTCTGTTGGAATGCCCTTTTTGCTGACTGGTCACAGCCATCTTTTAGTGCCCAGCTTTTCAATAAAGTCTTTCCCAGCTATTTCATTTTACATCGATCTTTCTCATCTGTAAGGTACTATTGTGCTCACTGTCAATACCATGCAGTTTAGTATTTAAATGTTCTCTAAGTTGGTTTCACATGCATTTCTTCCCAGGTAGTTTGTTTATAAGGTCATTGGGGGCAGGGTTTCCTTATTCTTTATGTATTTTTCTCATAATATTTAATATAATGTTGAATATAATATAATAGGCTGCCCATAAATATTTGATTATTGCTAGCAATAATCACAAATTGTAAAGGGACAATATCATCATCATCATAATGTTTGATAACAGCAGCTAACATTCATTGAACACATAGTTTATGCCAAGAAGTGTTAAGCACTATCCACATATCATCTCATTTAACCCTCACAGCCTATTCCTATATGAAGTAGGTTCCGTTACTATCTCCGTTTAATAGATGAGGCTTAGAGAGGTTAATCAACTTGTCCAAGTTCCACAGCCAATGAGTGGCAGAGCAGGAATTCTGTTCAAAATCTGTCTTATCAGAATCCAAGGTAGATAATGATGGAGTCAATTTTTCTCCTTCAACTGAGATTTTCATATTTAATTATCTAAAATATAACCATGAAAAGAAAAAATGATGTAACACATCAAAATCAGTCAAACTGTTGAAATGGAGTTGAAATGCTGAAAAATGATCACACTTGACACTCCCTCTCACTACAGCCTCTTTTTGATCATCTTTCAAACTCTGGCTCCAGTATTCCTGGTTCACTGGTACAAATCTGGAATGTTGGATGCTAATATCTTTGTTACTTTTTCCTCTCATAGTTACTGACTATACTACTGGCAGAGTTGGAGCCCCTCTTATTTGCTGTGAAATTAAGCTGAGAGACTGGCAGGAAGGTAAGAAGAATTTTATGACGAGCTCTAGTGATGCTAGATAGGCTGAAAACCACTGTGAGCCTTAAGATATTTCTTTAAAGTGTTAGGTTGTCTGAGGTTGCAAATGATTCTTTGCCATTGCCTGTTCCCTGTGCTTGCTTTTTCCTTAGTAATATCTTTAGGTTCCCAAGAGGAAAAGAAAATCTCTTAGGGTCTAGGATTGATGATTCTGTGCTTGAGAATACTTGGTGGTAAAGAGGAAAAAAATTCTTAGTGGGGGTTTCCCTGGGTTTGGAGAAGGTGAGGATCCTTGGAAGCTCAGCATTGCTAGTGAGGATATTTGGGCAGAGAAAGAAACCCCAGATTTTCAGGGGAGTGACTGATTACATACATACATACCTCAGCTTCCTTAGATCTTGATCTCAGCAAAGATTTTCATAGTTGAGACTCAACTGTTCAGCTGTTTGTTTTGTGTAGTTGAATTTTTTATGTGTACTTGCAGAGGCAAGCCACTTAGAGGAAAGAGGAAACCTGTACTTTATAAACATTGGTTATAATTCCTTTTGCAAATCAGCTGAAGGTGAAAATAGACAGTCTTCTTATGAGGAACTTAGTGAAAGATACTAAACATATATGAAGTGCCTTCAAAAAGTTTGTAGAAGAATTCACGTTATTTTTAAATTCCATTTTTCCATGAACTTTTTGAAGTACCCTTGTACATTAACCACAATAAAGTAGATTGTTAGATAAACAAACAATTAATAGCCTAGCCTGCCAGATAAAGGAAAAGTAATTTAAAAGTTTAAGATTTTAAAAGACAATGCAGTTAACTCTTAAACAACACTGGAGTTAGGGGCTCACTGACCCCCTCTCAGTCAAAAATCCACTTATAACCCCCCAAGCCCTGCATGACATACCTTACCCAAAATTTTCCAATATATTTTTAGAAAAAAATTCGTGTATAAGAGGACCTGCGCAGTTGAAAACCCATGTTGTTCAACAGTTTGCTGTATTTACCTTAGGATCGAACCACGGACTAGAAATTTAAAGGACTACAAGTTACTTGTAGGGTGCATGCTTTAACCCATTCATTTTCTTGGGGTACAAATCCAAGAAAATGACTGGGCACTATCTAACATAAACCTTAAGTTTCTAAAAGTTTCTCCTTTTTGACTTATATGCATTATTGTCAGTGTTCTATGAGCAAACAGCTTTTTAAAAAAAAAACCAAAAACATTTACAAGCCAATCGCATTTCTAAGAGTTTTACACATTGGGATGAAGTCCTACTTTCTTCTATGGTAAGGCCATTCCAAGTTTACAAAGAGAAGCTAAAGAAAATATAGGTAGTATGTGTATATGCGTATTGGGCCTCAGCATCAGAATTGTTTTATTCAATGGGTGATTTCTTAGGCAGTGGAATCAGAGAAGCATTTGTAGTAAAACTTAGTAAGGAGAATTTTGCCTTTAATTTTTATTTTCTGCTTTCCTGGTATGCTTTAATGTCAGTTTTGGGGAGTGGTTCCACTTTTGGACATGTATTTAGAGTTTCCCTTGCTATGAAGGATCCTTGGCTTTATACAGTAGGAATGTTTTGCATATAATGGGTTGTGTCATATTGAATTATTGAATAGTTTTAAATTTATGAGAGCAGCTAACAGCTGAAAGGAATTCTGCTCTTAATCCTTTTATGATGCAAAATCTAATGTTTCAGTTTACAAACTGAAATTTTTGTATATGTTCCTTAAAGTAAGCTTTATTTAGTAATAAAGAGGGTAGTGAGAAGTGATAAAATATTTTAGTAGTTATTGTCAATTATTCCAGTGTTTTAACTTTTAAAGTCATGACTGGCCACAGGCAAAATTAATAAAATTTTCCTTCTGTTTCCCAAAGCCTCCCTTTCCCTCTCACTTGCCTTTCTTAGGTATTTACTACTTGTTCTCTTTGATTAAAACCTCCTTAGGGAAAAATCTAAAAGGTAGTGATAACAACATGTTAGTAATTTACTTCTAACAGCTTCAAGTGTTATCCTTCTTGGGAGTGATTTTATTTTAACAGAGATCTGTGAACTCTAAACTTTAATGATAATCTAAGTATGAGATTGTACAGTCATGGGAATGTTTGGGATGGATGGTAGTTGGTGGTGGTTATCCTTAGGCCTTCCCTGCTGCTCCTGAAATCACAGTCACCCATTATCCTCATGTAAATCTGAATAAATATAAACTAATATTCTCCCATAAAATGATGTAAAATTTGATCAGCAGAAAAATATTAACAAAAAGGGGGATGGGGAGGAGGAGAAGGGGTGGACTAATGGGTACAAAACTATGCTATCTAGCCCAAGTAAATCATTGTGCAGCATGTGCGTGTACTGGAGTAACACACTGTACCCCACAAAAATAAATAAAATTTTTAAAAAATTTAAAAAAGAAAAATATTACCAAAGAAACTTTAAGAATTAAGGAAAGTAAATTTAGTTTTAGGATAATAACTGATTTGCTTTTATGATTTCTAGGTGGTTATACAGTTCATGACAAGCCAAACCCCAGAGGTGAAATCGTGATTGGTGGACAGAATATCTCTATGGGATATTTTAAAAATGAAGAGAAAACGGCAGAGGATTATTATGTGGATGAAGACGGGCAAAGGTGGTTTAGCACTGGTGATATTGGAGAATTCCATCCCGATGGATGTTTACAGATTATAGGTCAGTTTATTGTTTTTGTGGTTTTCTTCAGATTTTGTAACTTCAACATACATGAAAAGGAATAGTGGTCAGATCATTAATAGGGTTGATTGTTCCATTAGTTCAAACTTTGGGCAAGTTATTTAACTATGTATGAGCTTCTCCATCTGTAAAATAGGGACAACAATACCGACCTTATAGGGTTGTTGTTAGGATTAAATGAGTTGATATATGTAAAATACTCAAAGCAGTACTTGAACTTTAGTATGTAGTAGCAACAGCAGCTGCATTGGGGGTAAGTGGAGTGGTTAGGGAAATAGCAGATTGGTAATGAGAAAGCAAAAAGAGCTTAGATAAGTTCTTTTTTTTTGGTCAACCATATGTGATTCTGTTTAGCATAACTTATTCTATTCTAGGCCTTCCTCACCCTTTACTTCCCTATCCAAAGGTCAGAATAGGCACTTTTTTCCCCCCTGGTGGCTATTTATATGGCTCTAACTATTCTAAACCTTAGAAAATGATGACATCTGGGCCGGCCCACTGGTGCACTGGAGAGTGCGCCGCTTGGGAGTGCGGCGGCGCTCCCGCCGAGGGTTCAGATCCCATGTGGAGACCAGTTCCCGCTCACTGGCTGAGCGTCGTGTGGGCACGACACCGAGGGTTGCGATCCCGTTACCGGTCAGTAAAAAAAAAAAAAGAAGAAAAAAAGAAAAAAGAAAATGATGACATCTGGGCCGGCCCACTGGTGCACTGGAGAGAGCGCCGCTTGGGAGTGCGGCGGCGCTCCCGCCGAGGGTTCAGATCCCATGTGGAGACCAGTTCCCGCTCACTGGCTGAGCGTCGTGTGGGCACGACACCGAGGGTTGCGATCCCGTTACCGGTCAGTAAAAAAAAAAAAAGAAGAAAAAAAGAAAAAAGAAAATGATGACATCTGGGCCGGCCCACTGGTGCACTGGAGAGAGCGCCGCTTGGGAGTGCGGCGGCGCTCCCGCCGAGGGTTCAGATCCCATGTGGAGACCAGTTCCCGCTCACTGGCTGAGCGTCGTGTGGGCACGACACCGAGGGTTGCGATCCCGTTACCGGTCAGTAAAAAAAAAAAAAGACAAAAAAAAAAAAAAAGAAGAAAAAAAGAAAAAAGAAAATGATGACATCAATCTTCAGAACTAGTCTGTTCTTCCGAGAATGTCAGTTGCTTTGGTATGGCCTTTATTGAGCTACTGAAGTAGACCTTTAATTTCAAAAAGCAACTCCAAAATGAGCCCTTATGCTACTCACTTTAGTCAAGCAAAAGTTAAAACAAAAATTGACTAGCTGATAAGGACCACTCTGCAGGATCCCAGTCAGGTCCTTTTCAAGTTGTAAAGTTTCCTCAGTCATATCTTTAGCGACCCATTTTAATCTGTTGCTGGACCTCACAATATCTGACCTGAATATCCTTCATCTAGAAGTTTGATCTGCTAGGGAAATTCCCAGGAAACATAGTTCAGTTGAAAAACAATGGCCCTTTTTTCTCCTTGATTCTTAATTGCACTGGAATCGAAGGTAGTTTTTGTAGTGTAGTTTCCTAGGCTGTGGGTAGGCAAATCAGCACTTACACGAAGATCCTAAGGCAACCTGATGAGTATTCAAGCCATGCTGTCCTGTGCCAGCATTTTCTTAGAGCACTGTCATTTTAGCAAATTGAATGTGTTCTATATGCCAGATATTGTGCAACATCATTATCCCTGACAAAACTGAGGGTTAGAAAGTTTAACTGACATGCCCAGCATTACATAGGTAGTACCGGGCAGAGCTACCATTCAGATCTAATGCTCCAAAGTCCTGTTCCTTCCGTTAACCTTTTATGGTATTTAAGATTATAATAAGATGTTAAAGCTTTGGGTATAGGGTGTAATTTTTAGCCAGTAGTACTTTTAACTAGGCATTTTCTTTTTAACTGATACGTATAGGCAAGCGTTATATACAGTAGTCCCTCCTTATCCACAGGTGATATGTTCCAAGATTCTCAGTGGATGCCTGAAACCGTAGATAACACTGAACCTTACACACAAGGGTACCTCAAAAAGTTCATGGAAAAATAGAATTGAAAGATAATACCAATCTTTACATAAACTTTTTGAAGTACCCTCTTACACTACAATGATTCTTGTCCCGGGTGGGATGGAGTAGGAAGGCATGGGATTTCATCATGCTACTCAGAATGGCGGGCAATTTAAAACTTAACAAATTGTTTATTTCTGGAACTTTTCATTTAATATTTGTGGACCATGGTTGACCATGGGTAACTGAAACTGTGGAAAGCAAAAGTGTGCAGATAAGGGGGGACTACTATATAACAAAATTTTAGAAGTATCTTTGTAAATAAAGATTAAGGCAGTGAGATTCAAAGAAAGTCAGAATTGTACATTTATAAAATTGTACCTTTATAAAACAGACTGTGGATAACTTAATATTCTTCATGACTTGTAGATCGTAAGAAAGACCTGGTGAAGTTACAAGCAGGAGAATATGTATCTCTTGGAAAAGTAGAAGCTGCACTGAAGAACTGTCCACTTATTGACAACATCTGTGCTTTTGCCAAAAGGTAACTTTCAGAAGTTCCATTTTGTGTTTCCGATAGTTATAGTAAAAGGTTAATTAAAAAAGAATTTCATTATATACAATCATAAGGGTGGCAACAAACTCCTTAGAACTTTCATCAGAGTTGGGGAATGATACATTTATGAAAGTTCTTGAATTCAACAGCTCGAAGATCATTTGAGATAACTCAGACATTTTGACTATTTATTGACACTTACTGTGTCTTACCAAATACTTATGCCACAAAAATTATTTCACTTAACATCCATAACAACTGAGAATTAGCATAAATAATTTTCCCAAGAAGGTAACATGGTTACTAACATGGTTGGTACATATTGAAATGAGTTAATCCAAGTTTTTCTGTATGAAAAGCCTATGAGATTGTACCATTTTTATATATTAATGTTTTATATTTATGGTGTTTATTTTTTAAAATTATAATTGTAGTTAAAAAAACCACATAACATAAAATTTACCATCTTAACCATTTCTAAGTGTACAGTTAAGTAGTGTTAAGTATATTTACATTATTGTGCAGCCAGTCTCCAGAACTTTTTCATCTTGCAGAACTGAAACACTGTACGAGTTAAACAACGATCCTCCATTTCTCCCTCCCCCCAGCCCTGGCAACCACCATTCTACTTTCTGTTTCTATGAGTTTGACTACTCTAGATACCTTATATAATAAGTAGAATCATACAGTGTTTGTCTTTTTGTGGTTGGCTTATTTCACTTAGCATTATATCTTCAAGGTTCATCTACATTGTCACATGTGTCAGAATTTCCTTCCTTTTTAAGGCTGAATAATAGTCCATTGAATGTATATACCACATTTTGTTTATATATTCATTCATCAGTGGACACTTGGGTTGCTTCCATCTCTTAGCTATTGTGAATAATGCTGCTATGAACGTGGATATTCAAATATTTGAGATCCTGCTTTCGATTTTTTTGGACAGAAACCCACATGTGGAAATGCTACATCATGTGGTAATTCTATTTTTAATTTTTTGAGGAACTGTATTCTGTTTTCCATAGTGGCAACACCATTTTTACATTCCTACAAGTAGTGCACGAGCATTCCAATTCCTCCACCTCCTCACCAAGGTTTCTTTCTGTTTTTTTCGTAGTAGTTATCCTAATGGGTGTGAGTGGATATCTCATTTTGGTTTTGATTTGCAATTTCCCAATGGTTAGGGATGTTCAGCATCTTTTCGTATAATTGTTGGCTATTCGTATATCATCTCTGGAGAAATGTCTATGCAGATTCTTTGCCCATTTTTAAATTGGTCTATTTGGGATTTTGTTTTGTATTGTTTTTGAGTTGTAGATCTTTATGTAGTCTATATATTAACCCTTTATCAGATATATGATTTGCAAATCTTTTCTTTGATTCCATACCTTTTTTTTTTCATTCTGTTGATTGTGTCCTTTGATGCACAGAAGTTTTAAATTTTGACGTAGTCTCATTTATCTATTTTTGCTTTTGTTACTTATGTTTTTTGGCATCGTATTAAAGAAACATTATGAAATCCATTGTTATGAGACTTTCCCACCATTTTTTTCTAGGAGTTTTATAGTTTCAGCTCTTGAGTATTTAGGTCTGTGATCCATTTTGATTTAATTTTTGTATGTTGTAAGGTAAGGGCCCAATTTCTTCCTTTGCATGGGGATATTCAGTTTTCCTAGCTCCATTTGTTGAAGAGATTTTCCTTTTCCATTGAGTCGTCTTAGCACCTTTGTTGAAGATCATTTAACCATAGATGCTGGAGTTTATTTCAGGGCTATCTATTCTATTCCATTATTCTGTACATCTGTCTTTATACTGGTACTATGGGTTTTATTACTTCTTAATGAAACTTTACAACAAATAAGAGAAGTATATATTTGGAATTTTTGTTACTATTTTGTTGAATAATTTATGAATTATTTTTCATAAAATGTTTTAATTTCTATTTTATTTTCCAATTTTTTAGTGACCAGTCTTATGTGATCAGTTTTGTGGTTCCTAATCAGAAAAGGTTGACTCTTTTGGCACAACAGAAAGGGGTGGAGGGAACTTGGGTTGATATCTGCAATAACCCTGACATGGAAGCTGAAATACTGAAAGAAATTCGAGAAGCTGCAAATGCCAGTAAGTAAGAAGTTGCTAGTCTATTGTAGTCCCTAGAAGTCATCTAATGATGTCTTGTGTATTAGGCTCTTCAGGATATTTGTTTATCTTAATAATAAAATACAGGGTTTAAGAAACCTACCTGATATATATATATATAATAAATTTCCACATTGGAAGGATCTTTAAGTATCATATAGTAAAATAACCTATCTCTATTGCATGTTATAACATACCTGCCAAGTGGTTACCTAGCCAGTGTTTGAAACGATCTATCTTCAGATAATTCTGTTATATAGGTCTAACTTATATCTGCAAAGTAGAAACTAATACATCTTTAGTAAACAGTGCCATAACCATGACTATGCTGTGCTGTTTTTATACTTTGGCACTGTAAATGAACTCTCAGTTTGTGCACTAATAACCAATTGCAGAACATCTGACTGTATATTATGTGTTAGGCATTGTGTTAGGCACTAGGAATACAGAAGGTAGTAAGACATTTCTTGCTCTCAAGGAGCTCATTATCCAGTCCAGTGACAGGGGCACGTTAAGAAAGACAGCAATCTTAACAGTAAAAGAAATATGAACAGATAATCATGGTACAACAGATGAGGGCACCTAACCCTACCTGGGAGGTCATGGAAGGTTTCCTCGTAGATATGTCACTTCAGCTCATTCTTAAGGGTTGATCAAAAGTTACCTAGGGAAGGCGTTTCGGGCCAAGGAACAACATGAGTAAAGGCACAGAGATATGAAAAAGATGGTGTGTGCAGGGAACTACAAGGAGTTTGGTGTTACTAGTAAAGTACAAAGTCCAAGCTGAGGCCATAGAGGTAAGCAGAGGCCAAGTTATGTGGTACCGTCTATGCCATATTCAGAAATTCGCACTTAATCTTATAGGCAGTGGGGAACCACTGTCAAATTTTACCAGGCTAGTGATGTGGTCAGGTTTGTGTTTTAGATATGTGCATTCACTCTGGAGGCCATGCTGAAGATGCATTTGAGGTGGACCAGACTAAGGCAGGAGGCCAGTTTAAGATGCTGTAGTAGATGCTTAGATGGGGGGTAGGAGTAATGAGGGCCTGAACCAGGGAATCAGGAAACATTTAGGAAGAAAAATTGGCAAGCTTTGATGATTAATTGGATCATGGAGGTAAGGGAAGAGAGGAGTCCAGGATGGCCCCAGATTTATAGCTCAAATAACAAGATAGATGTTGCTACTGATTGAGCTCAAAAATACAGGAGGAAGAGCCGGTATATATGAAAAGGTGATGAGGGCAGTTTGGAACATATATAGTTCAAAATGTCTGTCTAATAATCAGAGTTAAAATGTCCAGCAGGCAGTTGTGTATATTAGTCCCAACAGTATGGGAGAGGCCTGGACTGAACTGTAGACTTGCGGATCATCAAAACCATGAAGGAGGATGGGCTGAACTTGAGAGAGAATGGAAAGTGAGAATAGGAAGAGGACAGGTCCCTGAACACCCCCAGCATTTAAGGACTGGATGGAGGAAGAGGCTTGCATGGGAGGCATGATCAGCAAAATGCCAAGAGAACAAAGCCAGCACAGAGCCCTGCTAAGAGAGTTTCAGGAACGGGAGTAATCATCAGTATCAAATTAGCAGAGCAGCTGGCTGGTTAGCTCAGTTGGTTAGAATGCAGCCTTATAATGCCAAGGTCGTGGGTTCAGACCCCCATACTGGCCAGCTGCAAAAAAAAAAACAATGTCAAATTAGCAGAAAGCTCTGATAAAGCTTTCTGGAACATTGATTAGGAAATTAAGTAGATTAAAAATGAACCCTGAAGCCAAATAGTAAGCTGGTTTTATAACCTTACTTAAGTTTTAATTTTCATTTTTTTGTCAGTGTAATAAAAATACATAATTTAAAAAATATCAAATAGTATTGAGACTTGCATCAAAGAGCAGCCCATATTGTACCCCTCTTCACCCCCAAGTCTTATCCTCCTTCAACTTTAGCTGTTTTTAAATTTCTTGCATTTTCTCCGTTTTTTTCTAAAGAAAGTGGTTATATTGCTTTTTCTTGACTTTTTCATTTGAGATGTTATCTATGAACTTCCTATTATAGAAGATAATTTAGCTTTCTTATATCTGCTCCCCCAAAACACATACTTTCTTTCCCAATTTTTAGTATAATTTTACATTTTACATCCATATTTATGCCATGACTGAAAATATTCACAGCTGAACTACACAGTGTTTTATGATTATATTTCCTTTCTTGGACAACTTTTTGCTTGTCCTGAATTTTCAAATTGCTTTTCTTCTTTATTTACCTAGTTTTCTGTATACCTATCATTAATTCTTCCCCTAAACTGATAAAGTTGTAAAAATGCCTCTCAAATCCAGGAAATATAGCATGTCTATATATTTTTCTTCTTGGAGACATCCTTCTTAGGGCCCTTCATCCTTGTGCTGAAATTTAGACTGTTTGCTCCCCAGGGCTTCCTTTACTATCATCCTGGGAATTTCCTTTGCCTCTCTCCTGAGTTGGATCCTGTTTCCTGGATCTCAGGGCTTTTTCCTGGTTTACTCGCTCATGTGGGTAGAGCACATCCTCCAGCAGCTTCCTGAGAAAGGTGCATAGGAGGTAAATTTTCTGAGACTGTGCTTGTGTGTCTGAATATGTCTTTATTCTAATCTCACCCTTGAGACGTAGCTTGGCATATTTTAGAATTCTAGATTGTAAATCATTTTTCTTAACACTGCAGTGCTCTGCCGTCTTCTAACTTCAGTGTTGCTGGCTGAGAAGCCAAATGCCATCCCAATTCCCATTCCTTTGTGTATGAACAATTTTCTCTCCCTAATATTTCAGAGTTACGATATGAATTTCTGATATTCTGATAGTTCATAATGATGTGGCCTGGTGTGGGCGTTTTATTACTTATGGTTGTGCATACTTGTGGGACTTTTCGATCTGGAGATCTCTGTTCCTCAGTTCTGGGAAATACTCACTATTTTTGTTCGTTTGCCTTTTTAAAAAATTTCCACTGTTCTCCCCTACCCCAAGTTTGTGTGTGTGTGTGTGTGTGTGTGTGTGTGTGTGTGTGTGTGTGTGTGTTTCTGAAACTACTTTGGCTGTTGGATTGCTTGCTTTCATCCTCTAATTTGATCTTTTTTTTTTTTTTTGGTTTGGTTTCTATCCCATTGTCTTCTTGTTTTATATTCTGGAAGAGTCTCCTTAACTTTATCATCTCTTCTGTCTACTGAATTTCCAATTTTCACTATGAGAATTTTAATTTTCAAGAGCTCATCCCTGTCCTCTCAGTGTCCCTTTTAATAGCACCATATTGCTCTCTCATGGGAGCAATGTGTGTTGTGTCTTATTCCTCTGAGCATGTTAAAGAGACTCCTTTTATGTATTTTTCTTCTCCTCTTTCTCGCACTCTCGGGAGAGTGCGGCGCTGGGAGCGCAGCAGCGCTCCCGCCGCGGGTTCGGATCCTATATAGGGATGACCGGTGCGCTCACAGTGCTCACTGGCTAAGCGCGGTATGGCTGGTCTCAAAAAAAAGTGTCTGCTAATTCTTCTGTCCATTTATATTTAAGAACAAGGTCCTAAAAAGCTGGAAAGCATACTGGACTTCACTGAAAAGCTATTCAAATGTTAGTGTCTTTCCTCTTGGGTTATTCCATTCCCCAAAGAAAACTTCTCCAATCTTTTGCCTGGGTGATCTTTGCCTGACTGCCAGTATTCTGGTAGCTAAAAGTGGGGAAAGGGCCTGTGGAGGGCCTGGGGGCTGGGTCTTGCCCTCACTGAATCCTTCTGTTTTCAACCTTTCTCTCTCACTCTGTTGTGCCTAATGTCCTTGAGTCCAGAGTCTCTGTAGTTCAGTTTTTCCAAAAAGTAAGACTGCCTCCAGCCTGGTGTGGGACAAGCAGCCCAGGGTGAGGGAGAACCGTTCTCCAGACAGGCTGGAGACCAGCCTCCTTTTTTCAGCATTACCCTCCATCTCTGTTTCAGAGTCTCAGGGGGTCCTTCCCCAGGCACTGCCGTGGGGTTGGTTTGCTTCTCAACAGTGGCCTTCTCTGTTGGCAGTTGTCTTAGCTCTCTCGGCTCTAACTCAGTTACCACTAATTTGTTTGCTTTCGTCTTCTAAAATATTGTTGAATTCTGTTATCTGGTGCCCTCTTATTCTTGTTTCAGTTTTTTCCCTCGTGTTTAGTACCTTTTCTATTTTAAAAATTATTCTAAACTATTTAAATTATTTTCTAGGAGGAGCAGAGATAAACTATGTACTCTTCATGTTTAACTGGAAGCTATTAACCTAATTTTAAATTGTTTTTCTCTTAAAAGTGAAAATAGCATTTTTCTGATTTTAAATTATCTATACTAACTATAAAATATTGGACAGTATAGAAAATTTATAAAAAAGGAAGTAAAAATCACTTGATAATAGTTATCTTTGGGTGGCAAGGTTACATTCTGGTATGTAAACTTAACCTGTCAATGTCATCGACATTTTTAGAATTACGTTTTTCATTTTTAACAATTTAATAGCTAAATAGTATTCTGGTACGTAAGTATCTATTTAAGTCCCTGTTTGGTTTTTAAGTGAATTCCACTTTTTCCCCCCACTGTAAACAAATGTAACACATATCTTGAATTCTCAATTATTTTCTAGTGTAATTACTTTCTTAGTATGAATTCCTAGCAATGAAATTTCTGTGTCAAACAGAATATATAAAGGTTTTCTCCCTGTTGCCAAATTGCTTTCTCTTCCTGCAGAAAAAATTTACTGGTTTATGTTCCTATCAGAGATATATGAGTACAGCTCTTTCCCTAACTAGGCTACTATTATTTCTATTTATTTTTAAAATTATTATGTAGGTTCCATGTTGGTTTAAAAGTATAGTTTATAGTAAAAGTTTTTCAACTTAAACTTGACAAGTAATTTTTCCGCAAGAAGAACTTTCTGAACTCTGGACACTATAAGTTTTAAACAACAATTGCCTGTTAACTTAATCAGATTGAAAAGTTACTTATTTTATAACTAGACAGTGTGGCTTAATGTTTTCTTCTTCAAGATGGTATTGTTTATAGTATTATTGATATAACACACTTTTATATTAATGTCACCGGGTTCCCAGAACTTTCTTTGATACAAACCCTGGATTTTTCTTTAAATGTATTATTTCCAAAAGTATTTCAACCAATAGGCTAGCCATTAGAGGTGCAGTGCGATTATCCTTAGTCACACTCTGAATGTACTAATGAAGCAGAATGTGACTTGAATAATTTGTCATTGCATATTTAGCTGTATAAAAGCAACAATGGGGAAAGTCAAGCCGGATCACAATTGGGCAGAAAATGGAATAAAATTCTGGGACCCACCAGGCCCGCATAACTTTTCTGTGCTTGGAGTGAGCATGTAATTGAACAATTAATGATTTGGATAATGAATGCTAATCATGAGCTAAATGTGTAAATCATAAACTTCTCTATGCCACAAAAGATTTATCTTGCCAACCTTTTGCTTCAAATTATAATTTTAAAGACTTATGCAAAAAAGCATAAAATAGTCTTAATTGTATTCAGCAAATCAGTCTGAAATTATACGTCTTTCATAGCAGGGTCTCTTCATGTTTTAAGTATAAGTGTGAGGTTTAGGAAGTATCGTAAGAATGCAAACTAATTGTTATTTGAGTGTTTTGAGCAACTACCAATGGCTATAAAAATCGACATTTGCTGCCACCTCCAGGCTAACACTTCATAATGTTCTAGTTAATTCACGTAAAAATGCCACATCTAAAATTATTTTTAGGGCTGGTGTGGGTTAGCTTATTTGGTAAGAGCGTGGTGCTGCTGAAACCAAGGTTGAGGGTTCAGATCCCTGTATTGGCCAGCCTCAAAATAATAAAATGGTTTTTGTTTTTCCTTCTCCTAATCTTTCTCATTTGTTGGCAATTAATTTATTCTGTTTACAGGAAATTGTGATTGTCCATTGTTCTCTATAGCTTGTAGCACTAGGTAGTATTTAGGAGTTCCCAAAACGAAACTCCCGAAGCAGCCTTTTGTTTTTCCTTTAAATAGGAATTTAGTTAATGAAGATTAAATATAGGAATTTTTATAAATATGTTTTAATTTGCTTATGTGCCATGGAAATAAGGTACTTGGCTTGTCCCACTTTTGTCAGTGTTTCTGGGATAGGACCTATGTTAGTAGGAAAAGTAAAATGAAATTATAGATTTTGGAACCAAATCCATTTAACTGTTTCCTTGAGATCCAGATGTGACTTTGGGAACAGGTAGGCTCATTTCAGATAACTCTGTGTAACTGAATTGTAATGCATTAACAGAGTAGATATTGTTAATTCAAGCAAGTTTTACGTTCCTTTACTACATTTTCAGGCATTATTTTTAGAAAGTTGGTTCTAAGTAATATTTGAAAGATTATTTTTCACACTCAGCTTTATATTTTCCTCTCATTTTAATGAGAAACTCACTAATCCAACCAAGCTTTCATAAAACTGAGACTAGTACTAGAACAAGAACTTTCATGAATTTGAGTTCTTTGTGCTTGTCACTGAAACCAAATTAATTCTAAAGTCATCTAAGCTGTTTAGCAATAGTTTGATTTTTCCCCCCACATGCAGATCTTTGCTTCTTAGCAATTGCTGTTTTAAATAATTGCATATAGAATAAAGCTCATTTGTAGATTAGCCTTACTGCTAACAAGCAGTTTAAGGATGACCTTGTAATAGTAATGAATAACTTGTTACTATATAATTTATGGAATTTAAAATTATCTAATACTGTACCGATTACGTCTGTGTCCTTATTTTCTTACATTTCTTCCAGCATGCATTGAGTTGTCTAACTCAGATACAACATGCACTACATCAATTCTATACCATTGAAAGGTGTGAAATTCACAATCTTCTTTTTGATCCATATTTATATACTGTACAATAAAGCTTATGAAGACTATTTGTTCAGAGGCTTAATTTCTGTAGAATGAATGAATAAACTTGTATGTGTTTAGTGAAGGCTCTCAGTGTAGCCCTAAGGATGACAGTAAACAAAACAAAGATGCTACTTTCATGGAGCTTACATTCTAGTGGGCGAGACAAATATATAATGTGTTGGGTGGTAATAAGTACCTTGAACAAATCATAGTGTAACAGGATGTAGAGAGACAAAGGGACTTCTCTTTTGTGATGAGTGGTCAGGGAAGTTGTTTCTGAGGAGGTGGCATTTGAGCAGACTCCTGGATGAAGTAAGGAAGTGAGTCATGCAACTATAGTAGGGAAGACCATCCCAAGCAGAAGGAGCAACAAATAGTCTCTCAAGAGGAAGGTTGTGTGTGTGTGTGTGTGTGTGTGTGTGTGTGTATTAGAATAAAAGCCACATAGATTAAAACTTTCCAACTGGAACAACTTATGTTTACTTTGAAGAACATAAAATTAAATGATAAGATAGTGGTATCATTCATAAACCATCTAACAAAACCATTAAATAAGTTTGCCTCATAACCTGCATCATCTAGTAAATCCTGCAAAATTCATGTTTTAATTGCTTTTCTCTCTCCTCTTCTTCCTCTCTCCCTCCTCTCCCACCCTCCCCACTCCTTTCCGCCCTCTCTCCCTTTCTCCCATCCCTCCCTTTCTCATTTCAGTGAATTTGGAGCGGTTTGAAATTCCAATCAAGGTTCGCTTAAGCCCAGAGCCGTGGACCCCTGAAACTGGTTTGGTAACCGATGCTTTCAAACTGAAAAGGAAGGAACTGAAGAACCATTACCTCAAAGACATTGAGCGAATGTATGGGGGCAAATAAAATGTTGCTATCTTATGTACAGTTCACAGGAGGTAGTCTGGTGGTTTTTCAGTTCTATAGTTTTAACACTTCATTGAGCTGTTAGAATGTAAGGTATATCATTATGAAGACATGATAATAAAAAAAAGAAAAAAAACACCACCCAAACCGATTATAGTTGTGGAGTCTACTTTAACTTAGTTTTGCATAGTTTTAGTGAAGCTGAAATTGAAGTTATTTCCCGTTAGCTGTGTTATTGATTTTAGAGCAGAAATTCTGTTTTTAAAAATTAGCCTAAGATATACTTGTATTCATAAAGGAAAAATTTCATTGTTGAACAAAATAAATTGGAGTTGGAGTAGAATGTAGTTTGAGGAAATTCCAATGTCTGTTGTCTTCCTAGTTCAGAAGCTTAAATGTTAAGCATGACAAAAAGTATGTTTTAACACTACTCAAAGCAGAAGGTGCTGCAGGGCTTTAAAATTCTCTTCCAGCCATTTATCTTGAAGGGAAAATTCAATCGTAATATAATATACAGAATCAAATAATACTTTAGAAGGTAATAGGTTAGACTTAGAATCATTGTAATTTTGTGAATAATTACAGTGCCTAAAGTAAGAACAGAGGAACATATACACCAAAAAATATCTAGGAATATATTTAAAGGAAAATGGAACTGCTTTTTTGAAACTTTGAGATCTAAAATCAGTAACTGTAATTATTTGAATGACTTATAGGAAAGTACATCTTTTAAAAATCACAGAAAATTGCCTTTCTGTGCTTGTTTAAAATAAAGACTGAAGCCAAGAATGAAATGATAGAAAGTTGATCAAAATTTAATAGGAAGCATTTTGTCTTTTAGAAAAGATGATGAAATCATACATATTTGTCATTGTGACCCTTGCACAGCACTGAACCTGGGAAAGAGATTTAGACTCTGAATTTATCTTCGATAACAGGGATTGATTTTAAAATGCACTCGTATTAAATTACATTTGTAATTTAAGGTCTGTTTGCTGTTGCTGATTTGGTTCTTGATCAGTAGTTTGCATTTCAGAAAGCCTTTCATTTTGCTTTAATTTTAGCAAAGCGGGTTACAATGAATGACTTCCCCAATATCTTGTTCGAACCTACGGGTGATTAATTAACTTGGATGAGTTTTGGGAAGTTAAAGGGAAGAAAACACTGTTACCACTTTTTTCCTGTTTGTGAAGAGTTTAGAAACTGGAAATGCTGGATTTGGGAGAAGGGCAGAGTTACTTGATAAGGGACTGATGTTTGTACAGTAACTTGGAGTGTGGGTTTCTTTTTGAATCTTTATTAAAATCTGGGATTATATATCCTGATTGATATTCACACTTGAACCATAGTTACAAAAATTCTAAATACTGTCATTCTTTGCACTTTTTCTTAGTCATTTTATATATACAAATATATATATATATGTTGCTTACATTGCTTTGTATACATGTGGGCCACCATTGCAAAAAAAATTCTTTTTGCTCTAAAATATTTATAAGGAATATTTAAATGTTATGTATATGGTGGTAATGAGGAAAAAATCATCTGGTATTATAAACGAGAGTGAAGGTTTTTGTAAAGATTTTTGTTCAGTGTTTTGCAAAGTGAATTTCCCTGAAGTTATGCATATGTGAGCATTCTCATTCTTCCCACCTTGCCTTTGAAGAGTGAAAAACCATTATTATCAAGTAGACTACTGTTCAGCTTTTATTATTCCTGGCCCACTGTTTGTTTATCCTTTAAGAATGATTTTCTTAGACTTTTCCAATATGTGACTTTTTTTGCCCATTTGAAATGGTGATTTTAAATGTGTGAGTGCATGCATACTATGTTATCTCAGTTACTTGCATCCCCACCCACCCACGTCTCCCAAAAGCTAGAACACTGCCAACTAATCTGTTGTATAGGTCCTTTCGAAACATGTAATTAACTCTTAAGGTTGGGTGCTGCTAATTCTTTGCAAAAATACAAATATTGTTAAGGGACCAGGGAGATGCCACTACCCCCTGATTTTTCATCTAAAAATAATACATGTTTATGTAAACAGAAATTTTTCCGTATTCATAGTGACTTTTCAAGTATTTGAGCCTAAAGATTTTAATCTCACATTTTTTATAACTTTAAATCTTTCACAGTTATTATTACATGTCTGCCATCAAAGTGATACTTAAAAAATTTATTTACATGTATGTACATTTCTAAGTCAAACACTTGTGACTGTTGCTTTAATTACATGAAAGTATCTTGCCTCCGATATTTGTATTCATTTTTTGTTTTTCCTAGAGTGGAGGTATAATTGTATGGCTATTCAGAACTGAAATATAGATGAATGATTCAAAAATCAGAAGTTAAAGAGAGATCATAGGAACTGATTAGTAATCCTTGCCTATATTTTCCTGATAGCATATGACAAATGTCTCTAAGGTAACAAGATGAGAACAGGTTAAAGATTGTGTGGTGTTTTGGAGTTGGAGAAAAGTGTTTTAATTTTCAAATGTAATTACAAATTATAATGTATTCATATTTGTACTTTCTGTTAAAATGCACGATTGTAGGATTGTTTTTTAGATTTTGTGTTTATTCTTGATGAAAAGCTTTTTTTGTTCTTGTTTTTAAGTTTGCACTCAAATCTTAAAAAATAAATCCACCCATGTTATCAAACCAATTTGTATTTAATTATGCATCAAGATAACATCTGTAATTTTGAAGATTATTAACCAAACTTTTAAACACAAAATACACATCTCTAGGTTTATAGAATTGCATTAAGCAGTTAACCCAGTTTGTAGAATTCCCATTCATTAGTTCAGAGTATTTGAACCCAAAGCTATTACTTCGATGCACTTACTGGAGTAGAACTCCTTTGTAATAGTGATACTGTGGGACAAAACATAGTCATGTTGTATGGATTATTAGTAGGTTCTAATAAATGATAATTATTAATTTTAGGGTAATTAATATTTAGGGAGAAATTAATTTATTATATGAGGGTGCATATAAAATGGTGTTAAGAGCTGTGCAACTAGACTGTTTTGGTCTGTTTCCTGGCTTTGCCACTCACTACTTGTGTGACTTCGGGCAAGCTAATAAACATCCCAAAGCTGCAGTTCTCTGTCTTCAAAAACAGGGTTTTTGGGATCTACCTTATAGGGTTGTTGTGAGGGTTAAAGTGAGTTAATTCATGTGAACTGTTCAGAACTATAGCTTAAGTTAGCTATTATCATAATCATTATTGTATCCGGACAATATTCACCAGTCAGGTTGTTTAAAATATTGACTAGCACACTTAGAGACTTAATGGATTGCCTGCCCCTGAAGATTTTGTGGAAGGAGTTCCGGATTTAGAGGTCAGGAGATGTGAGCTCATTCTATCACTAGTTTTGTGACCATGGGCAAATCTCCTATAACACCCTCTTAGCCTTAGTTTCTTATTCGTATTTGTTTGTTTTTTAAAAAAGGACTGGACTCCAAAAAAGACACCCTATGCAAAAAGGGAAAGGCAAAGGCTAGAAGAAATGGGGAATGTGATAGTCCCTAAACCCTATAACATCTAGCTTTAGTATTGTGGTATTGCTGTCCCGAACTGTAGTTTTTTAATCATGCCCAGGTCCCATGTTTCCCATAGGTTTTTGAGGCTGTGGATGGTGCCATCCCAAGAAGTGAGGATTCTACTAGCCATAAGGAGTTTGTCACTCATGTTTTATTTTTTAATCAGGGTTATACACACAATTTAAAGCAGTGCTTCCAAGCTTTTTGAAATTGTGATCCACAATGTGTGCACACACACTTATGTGTGTGTATATATAAAATAATATTTTATGAAAATGTTTTTGTGAAAAAACAATACTTATGAGATGCACACTGCTTTTCTATTCGATTTCATTTATTTTAATGCTAGCTGTAACACACTAAATTGATTTGATGACCCTGTAACATGGTGCTGTCAAGTAGAACTTTCTGTGAAGTTGAAAATGTTCTGTATCTGTGCTATGCACTATAGTAACTACCAGCCATATGTGGCTGTTGAGCATTTGAAATGTGGTGTGACTGAGGCACTGAATTTTTAATTTTATTCCCATATTGGACTGCACAGCTCTAGAGAGAGTGCAAGCCCCAGTTTAGAAGGCACAGGTTTAAGGTCTGCTATTCTACAAAGTCAGTGAAAGACAGCTATCCCCTGCCCTTACCCCTCTCCCCCATTTTCCTCTGCCTCAGAGGCAACCACTTTCAACTCTTACTTGATTGTTTTAGTATTTACTCTCTTGTTTCTAAATAACATGCATGTATTTGCTGCTTCTTGATTTTATTGCTATTTATTGACCTCACTATATGCAGGCATGCTGTTCATCCTCCTAATATAAACGTGTACTTTCATTACATTGTAGTAACTATGGTATACTGAGCTGAAAATTTGGTAGGAAAACTATGATTAATTTTCCTTTCCAGCATTTTTAACCCCCTGGAGCTAGTAATTGTGTTTCTTCCATTTGCTTGGTTTTTTATGTACATGTCACTAATTCAACACCAGACTCTCCACCAGTTGTCTAAATCTCCTCTCAAGACTTAGAGATAACAAGAATTCTAACAATTTCATCTGGAAGAAATCTCTCCTAGAACTTTCTGACATACTCCAGTTAAGATCATTTGCTCTCCTTTCCCTGGTAGAAGGCCATTATCTTGGGATCCACCTTCACCATCATCCTGAGATTTCTCTCTACTTTTATCATGTATTGGATCTCCTGTTCCCTGTATCCTATGTCTTTTTCTTACTTGGATTATTACCTCTTTTTGATGGAACATATCTTACAGTAGCTTACTGAGAAGGGGTAGATGGGAGGTAAATATAAAACCTTACATTTTGATTCAGTTGGGTGTAGAATTGAAAATTTCCTCTCCATGTTGAGAGCATTATTCTGTTGTCATTAACCTTCCTACCTTATCTGTCCTGCAGGACCCTTCCATTCTATTTCACTTCTGTGTTCTCCAGTATGTCAAGTTCGTTCCTCCCAGTGGTTCTTCACCCTGGCTGCACTTAGGAATCCCATGGGAAAGTTAACAACAATAAGACCACCAAAAAACTGCCCATACCTCATCCTCTCTCACTGGCCAACAGTGGCCTTCCTGCTAGTTCTTTAAACTCCTTTATTAGCATGTCTCTTTAGGATTAAGCCACAAAATGATTCATGTAAGAGAGAATGGGCTTCACGGGTTACCAAGGAAGGTCTGAGACTCCTGGTTAACTGTTGGCTCCCCTAACCCTCCCCTGTTTGTATAGGATTGATTTTTCTTTTGCTTTGGCAGGTTAACTAGCTATTCCTTTGACACGGAAAAGAATGAGATTCTGAGAGGATGAGCTACAGAAACAAGATGTTTCTTGGAAGACACACCTAAGGGTATGATGAATCCGAAATGGGCTTTGGGGGTGGGGGCACTTGGAAGTGCTAAACACCAACTTTTCCTAATTCCAATTTTCCTAATTTATTTTTGTCTTGGGTTTGCAAGAAATCAATCAAAAAAGCATCAAGAGACTTCTAGAAACAATGGAAAAAGGAAAAGTGTGTTGTAATTCACCCACCCATGTGTCTCTCTAGAGTGGCTTTTGCAGCAGAAATCTGCAAATGGTTCTTTTGAAGTCAAGTATTTATTCTTGTTCCAGCTCTTTGCTAGCCCATGGCGTTATAAGAAGCTCAGAATCAGATACTCACATGCATATAATATGTATTACAGACATTCCCACATATATTTTCTTCTTTATGGCCAACAGCTGTTCTTATAAATTCTTCTCACCTTAGCTGTTTCTCCGATTTTCCTTAAAAAAGGGCATTCCAAGCCCCACATTCAGTTTGCAATGATGAATAGCATGCATTGACATAGGAAAGTAGCAATGTGGCTCCCCAAGAGTGGGTAAAGGACAGGGCCAGAGAGAATAATCGGGAAGCCTTCCTGTCCGGACAGTTACTAAGGGAGCAATGTAGAGATGAGCTAGAATGCATCAAGTATGACCCCCAGCCTTCCTATAGGTGGCATCATTTTTCATCCAGATCTGCTTTTTGTTACCCCTCAGGATTCGTGATAGTGACAACTAACTTTTCTCAGGGAGTTCAAGTGAAGGAAAGGATACAGAGTCTTCTGTTTCATTTCAGCAGGAGTCTTTGTTTTCTCTGTGAGAGGCCCCCTGGGCTCTTTTTGCTTGTGAACTCTTCTCTTTTGCTTATGGTATAAACAGTAGCTCTCTTGACCCGTCTCCCAGGGTTGTGGACTATCTTGGTTCCTCTTTGCTTTTGTTCAGATATGAAAAATTCCAAAACCGGCCTGGGGCTGCAGGGATTCAGCATCCTGTCTCCAGGAGTAAGGCTGTACAAATATGTTAGCTCGAGCTGTTGACTTCATTCTCTCTCTTAAAACTTTGGGACTTTTTCTCTTAAAAGTTTTGAAAGACAGGTCAGGCATTAGACTTTTCTTAGCAAAGCCATTTTTGTTTTAAGGCCCTGTTAAGTTCCAATATTATTAGATGTCCTTTGTCTTAAAACATGACACTAAGGGGCTGGCCCCGTGGCGCACTTGGGAGAGTGCAGCGCTGGGAGCGCAGTGACGCTCCCGCCGTGGGTTCGGATCCTTTATAGGAATGGCCAGTGCGCTCACTGGCTGAGCGCGGTGCGGGCGACACCAAGCCAAGGGTTGCGATCCCCTTACCGGTCACGAAAAAGACAAAAAACCCCCAAAAAACAAAAAACATGACACTAAGAAGTGCTCCTGGGCCCTCTCTTGTTTAGTAGTGCTAGATGCTATGAGGAGACAAAAGAAGGTCTTGTGCTATCAGCACGTGGTATCAGACCATGGGGGTGAATTAGAACTGTGAGCTAAAGACTCTACATATGTAGGAATTT